ACTTTATGCATCCTTTTTCTTTCTTCTCAACGCCACTTTTTCTTCCTTGTTCATATCTTCAACCATGGCTTCACCTCCAAAGGAAAAAAAACATGCATCAAGTCCAACCATTTTTCTTTCATGCTAATTTCTTTTCTCCTTCCTCTTCATGAGTTGTCTTCCCTTTATCCTCCCCCAAAACTGAACCTAAGAAGAGCTTGGTGGTTTGGCTTAGAAATTTCAAGGTAAGAAATGTGGAAATTGTTAGTTTGTTTAAATGCTTGCAAAGATTTAGGAATTCTTTGGTAAAAACTGTTACCATGTATGATTGTATAGGCATGGGAATTATTATGAAATTTGGGTAAGAAAGTTGTTGGTTAAATTGCTACCATGTATACATGCAATTAAGTGAATTGGGTTTGAATGGTTCCTAGGAAGTGTACAAGTAGAGGATGTGCACTGGGGTGGCGTGTCGAACAAGATAACCGTTGATCGGCACGTAGTATTAGTTATTTACATACCCGAATTAATAGCGACGTAATATCCTACTATTGTGAGGTGAGTAGGAGGTGTCCATTTTAAAATTCCCATAACTATGTAAATATATATATAAATATGTGTTAATTTATTTTAATGAAAAATTGTGGAAAGCATGAGTTGGTAGAAATGTTAGGACATTGTGGATGCTATGACTTTGAATATATATATAAATATATATATATATATATACATATAAAGGTTCTTGAAATTGGGAAACAAGTTTTTAATATGATTTATGTCAAGTATGTGCCTTATAATTTGTGTGATGTGCATTCATGATTGAAACACATATCCACCATGCTAAATGATCTTTCAACCTCATGCTAAGAGTTATATTTTAAAGTCTTATAAGGAATCTTATCATGTTACTATGTGAATATTTGGCAATGATTTTGAAATAAACTTTTGAGAACCCAACTACATTTTAAAATAATTTTATCAAACCGAGAGATTCGAGAGTAGGTCGATTGTCACTTCGGCTAAGTGTGACCCTCGTGCACAAGTGAGCTCTAGCCAGATAACCTTTGGGTTGTTGACGGGCTGTTACACATGGCTGGGGCCAGAGTTTGTGATTTTACGTGGCTAGGCCATAAGTTGTGATACGCGGTTACGATCGCCTGATTTTTCCGATGTTGGCCAACATCATTGAGATTGCCATGGCATGTGGGGATCCGGTGGAGCAGAGCTACCAGATGTTATTACGTAGAAGCGGGTCCACATGCTCTTTACTTCTACACCTACTCAAGAGTGATATCTCTTTGGGTTTTCACGTAGTAATTTTTGCATGGTGAAAAATAATAGTTTGTCTACTGCTCCCTTACTTATACGATGAAATTTGATTTAATTCCTCACGTACGAGGTGAATTATGAATTTGCATGCAAGCTTTGTAAAATGTTGGATTTTATGGGAGCATGCATGACGACATTAAATTACTTTAAACAAGATGTTAAGTGATTTCGATGGTAGGACTCTTTCCATGACTTGGGTTGATATTTGATTTAAATGATTATTTAGCATAAACTTACTTATATTTTCATATAAGGCGTAAACCTCCCTTTTCGAGTAAATTGTTTACATATATTCTTTTATTTTTAATATTCAAATCTTCTGCCTTTAGCTTATTTCCCATTTACGCCCTACTCACGAGGTTGATGATCACTGAGTGAGTGAGACTCACCCCTCTTATTTTCTTTTGCAAATAAGTAATCAGTTCTAGTGCATTGTTCAGCACCTCGAGACTGGCTACAACCTAGGTAATGGCATCTCATAGACTTTCACTTCGAGTCGCCCCACTGCCTAGAGGTCGTGTTGTATCAAATAGTCAAGCTTATGATGATTAATAGTTTATTGAAAATGTATTTGCAAAAACTTAAGGTTATGTAATGATTACTACATATTATGTTAAAATTGTATGGAATTATGAAACCTAGTTATCAGTAACTAGATGCCACGTTTTATATATTGTGATTATTTGGTTTAAATAAATTATGGTGTTAAAATTGTAAGTTGAGTTTAAATTGCTTGGAGGTTTAACTAAGGCTTGTTTGGGATTTGGCGAGTTCACTCGCAAGTCTCGGACGCCGATAGTGATTGAGGGAAGAGGTTGTTACAATGATAGTTTGGTATACTCGAGGAGTCAAAAGGTACATGAGCAACACTTGAGGATTTTGCTACAAAGACCGAGGGAGCACCAACTGTATGCCAAGTTCTCCAAGTGTGAGTTTTAGCTTGATAGTGTAAGCTTTTTAGGTCACATGGTGTCTAAAGATTGGGTG